AAAGTGGCGAAATGGGATGATAGAGCAATATCCGGGGTACGGTATACCGCAGTGATTGTTCTTTTCAGTATTTAAAGTAATACTCACATAAAATGGGCCCATTGATGACCTATCCACTTTAACTATCGTGATATCGATATTATTATCAACATTGTTCAATATTTGTGGGGTTCTAACAAGTAGACCGTTGTTACATTATTGCACTTTCCGGAAACAGTATATAAATAACACATGGGTTTGTGGGTAACAGTAAAAATATCATCCCGAGGAAAATACTGCTACCCGAGGCGTAGCCGAGGGTAACAGTATTTTTACGAGGGATGGTATTTTTACTGTTACTCACAAACCCATGTGTTATTTATTATATTACCCCGAACAAAATACTGTGATGATCTGAAATAATTGTAACAAAAATAAACCTAGAGTTACAATAACTAAACTGTTTTAAGTGTACTTTAGGCCTACTTGAGAAGTTTTCTTTTCCTTTTATTCTTTAAGCAAGTGATGATATCTACAAATCATAAACATACAATAAGCTAGGTTTTATTAAGAAAACAAAACACTAACCCATTTACACGGTTATGATCTGTGAAATCTGATCCTTCTGTTTCCAGAATATTCTTAGCATGGGTTTTGACAAAATGACGATGATAAACTATGTCTGTCCACCATATCTGTAACGTTTCACTGATTAAAATTGTTAAAATAATCCTTTGTAATGTTGCATGCTTAAATCGTCTGCGTGTTCCAGTTTGAAACATAATTATTTACATTGCAATTACTTCCGTTGAAAACGGATGTTCACTTTTTGACTATTCAACAAGAATATATTTTATACGCGAAAAGCACACTAGGGTGCGAACAACTAAATTTTATGAGTGTCATAGTTACTTCGGCGATGCCCTATCGACGATAATAAGAATGAATCGAGAAAAAAATGGCGGCCATTTTATTTAATTTATTTAGAAAATAGACCACGTGACCAGTTTAATACTGTTAAAAATACTGTTACCTATGTAACAGTACAATGTTCTTAGTCACGTGGTACACTTGCAGTAACAGTAAGAATAACTCCCAGAGGCCTATGGGAAATTAGCATTACGAAAAAAGTGAGGGGTAATAATATAGAATTTTCAAGATTGAGGATTATTCGCGGGAAGGCAGATAGGTAATTTTTATTTCGGTCCATACTACAAGTAGTTAAGTTTCTTAAATATTGTTTGTGCTTTTCATGCACGGAATTGGATCATGCATCTAGTCATATATCTCCTCTGACCCTTACACACCGCACTATCAGGTCAAACGCACTTTGGGGTCCGACCCCAAAGTACGTTAAAATTCGCACCGCACTTTGGGGTCCAACGCACTTTGGGGTCAAAATCGAGAAATTAGCCCCAAAGTGCGTTAATATGCTACATATCAACGCACTTTGGGTTCAAGATGTCTAAAGGTGTCATCTGAGTTCTGCTTAAATACTGAGTACTGACTTATTTTCTATCTGCGACATTGGAATATTTGAGGTGGAGTTCAAGATGGCGGTCAATACTTTATGATGCTTAAGTGATAAAAGTTTCATTAATTTTACCGCTTGAAATATCTAAAAATTGTGTTCATATAACAAAATAACGGTAACATAAAAGTGACATTTGCATTTTTTTGTTTTTAGTTTTGTATACATATTTCATTTTAGTTTTGCATACATATTTTTTCAGTTTTGCATTCATATTTTTTTTTAGTTTTGCATTCATATTTTATTTTTGATTTTCGTACATATTTTATTTTTGTTTTTCATACATATTTTAGCCGATCAAAACAGCCTTCAAATCTCACAACAGTCCATAGTTGAGTATAAAACTAGTAATGTAGTTTGTCACATTTCGGCCCATTTTTGGAATGGGCCCAGTCGTTTTCGGCCGGGCAAGTCTGGTTTCGGCTGACCCTTTTCGAGCCATTTTTATATTATATGTATTTTATATAATTATTGTCTTTTTATTATTATATACTATTATATTAGTGTCTATTTGGAAAGGGCTGTTGATTGTGATCAGTTATTATTCCATGAATATGCACCACTCAACCCCACCCCCTGAGAATTGAGAATTATGAAACTTAGGTCAATTCTTAAGCACATCCAGATAATGTGCAGAACTTATATGCAGGTGTGCCGGCTCAAGGTCGGGCTCACACCTTCAGGTCAAAGGATAAAGACTTGGGTTTCATGTCCGCTCCTTATCTCTGAAACCCCATGAAGGATTTTAAGGCAAATGTAAACCACATCGAGACCATATGCAGAACCTTTCTTTGGGTTACCGCGGTATATAGTAAAGTATATATATACTAAAAAGTGTTGTTATTTTTTGATACCTCCAAAAATGAAAATGTTGGTATTTGCAAATGGCATTTGCAAATGGGGTACTGTAATTTACAGATGACGAAATGTTTGAAAATGGTGTTTTACAAATTGTGTAATTATCCAAACCTCTACTTTGCAAATGGCGTCATGTAAAAATATGTACAAAATATGTACAAAAAAACTAAAATAAAATATGTATGCAAACTAAAAAAGAATTTGTATGCAAAACTAAAATAAGATATGTATGCAAACTTAAAAAGAATATGTATGCAAAACTAAAAAAACGTATGTATTCAAAACTAAAAAAAGTATGTACGACAAGCAAACAAATAATATGTACGAAAAACAAAAAAGTATCAAAAAGACAAATGTCACTTTTATGCCACCGATGAAAATACTCTAGTACAGAAATTGTGTATTCCTAGAATTAAAAGATGCTGCGAAAAGTATCCCGTTCTGTCGGTCATTTACTTGATAACTTTTGGTGCCATATTGAGCCCCATTTTAAATATGTTGGGAATGAAATAAATTGCAGTTAATTTTTTTCCAAAGAACTATAAATATACTCTATTGCAATGTTCTGGTGAAACATCAAGTTTTTCTATTGGACTATAAATAGTGATTTTTAAAATACACTATTAAGCTTATCACCAAACTTAAGGGTTTTTGTAAGCTCCGTAACAACCGTTCGCCTGGGAAATCTTACATACTTCTTAAGCAAACATGAATTTTATAATGTTAAAATAATGGTATCAGAGAAATGTAAGATGCCTGAATAAACTAGTGATTAATGTGAAATAATTTGTCATAAAATAAGTCAAAACACTGAAGTATTTGACTTCCATATAAAATACTAATTCACTATAACTGTACTCATCATTTCCAAAAAGCAACATATAAAAAAAGATGGTTCAGGTAATTGGCCAATGAGTATTTTTGGATAATATTGAAGAACGTCAAAATAAAAACGCTTTTAAGAAAAACAAATAAAAGCATAATGGGCCTTTAAAACGTTATTTTAATCCTCGGGGGGGGGGGATCGATACCCCACAATCCCCTTTATACACCCAGTTAGAATTTTACATTATTCTGAAGCTCCGCTCTTAATGTGTGACTACTTAAATAGTTGATATTTTTGTATTGCCTGTACGGACTACTACTTAAAGCCGCATTTACACCTAGTCAAGTTTCTTATATGTCACATTCAGCTAAATAAATGGCTCTTTCAACATATTATCAGGCACATTTTTTACTGAAATGTCTTACTAAGATTTCCCAGAATTTATACCTTTGTCTATGCTAAGACTTTCATATTTCTATAAATTGTGTAAATAAAAAACGGGAAAATAATGCATTTAGCTAAAAATAATGGAGTTAATGAAAGGTGTACATTCTTTTAAAATAAATGGAAAATTTGAGAAAAAATATTTTAAGCTTAATAATTGATACAAAAGTCTTTATTTGGTGATTTATTAGGTGAAAGTTCTTAACTTACTGATCAAGACCATTTAAATCCCTATTGATTCTACTACAATTCAGGGCACATGTTTGTGTCTATTCAATACCTTGATTTTTTGTTAACCATTGGCTTTGACTACAATATATTATTTAAAACATAATGAACATTAATTTTCTATGACCCCAAAGTGCTGTCGTTTGCCTGATGCTGAAAGATGCATATGTACCTATTTAACGCACTTTGGGGTCGAAATTGGACCCCAAAGTGCGTAACGCACTCTGGGGTCGGACCCCAAAGTTCGTAACGCACTTTGGGGTCGGACCCCAAAGTGCGTTTGACCCCAAAGTGCGGTGTTACACGGCAGCATCATCTCTATATTGGCTCATAAATGTGCAGACTTGACAGTTTGAAAAAACGATTCGAGAAACCAACGCAATTTTCTTCAATTATGACAATATTTAAGCATGCTTTCACAAATTAAACTTAAATAAAACCATTTTTCTTTATGTTGATCGATGGTCGGTTTCCTGACCACTTGAACCATTTTGGGTCATCTTAGCCGAAACATTATTATTATTTGGCTATGTTTGTGCTAAATACATTGCTACAACGTTGTATTATTTTAAACGCAATTGCATAATAGGTTCTTAATAACTGATGGTTATCATTAAAAATGTTGATGGTGTAATAATAATATTAATAATAATAATAATAATAATAATAATAATAATAATAATAATGAAAATGATAATAATAATAATGATAATGAAAATAATAATGGTAGTAATTAAAATAATGATAATAATAATGATGATGATGTTGATAAAAAAAAAAAAAAAAATGATAATAATGATAATTATGATGATGACGATGATGATAATAATTGAAACATGTATAATGTTTTATAATATTGAATAAAGAACGTATGTATGCCAAAATATATGTAAGCCTATTTTACTGTTTTAATGTATCATGCTATTCAATATTTCACGTTTTAAGCATATGCATTCATGTATTGAATAAATTGAATAAGATATAAACAAGTGTCATAAAAGACGAATAAAATGAATTAAAATATTAAATAATCTTAATGTAACAGATAGTTAAACGTCGACAATTTGCAGTAAGTCTTATCATCAATGTCACGTTGAACGTCTTTATTTAGATGTTTCCATGATAAGTGTAAAGATAAGATCCGGACACAAGTTTCAGATATCGTAAGCTGCAGGCAGTTATCCATTGTTTGGACAAATGATAGCTACTGTTAAGAGAGCGGAATTATGCAGCCTCTTCTTATTTTGTTTACCTGCCTAAGCGTATGTTAACACTTTTTTTCTACATTTATACAACATAATAACTTTCAGTGTCTAGTTAAATCAAATTAAAAAATTTCAAAGTGTGTTTTTTTTTCTTTCAAAATCATGTTTAGTTATTGCTTATTTATAAGTTTTTCCAATTGACACAGATAGCATTATTCACACCTGTTCTGATATTTTTTCAGAATGATAATTAATCTCGATTTCATGTTATAAAATTTCTTTTGTTTTTAAATGAACTATTTCAACAGCAGATAAGTTGACTTTTCATTTGCTAATAGATATATTTCCACATTTTCTTTAAAAGAAATGATCTCAGTGTCAGGTCCGTGATCGCAAATTCTTAAACAAGTATCTTTTCCATGTCTTTTTTATGGCATTCTTCTTCACAAAGCTATAAAGTCATCTTTTCTATATTTGTTAAAAGCTATTTTATATAATTTTCTACCGTTTACCTTGAACTAACTCGGAATTGTCTATAAACTTCTACTATATTTCTATGTAGGGCGATGCATTTTTTGCCCTACGCAGATTGCGCATGCGCGAGAAAATTCTAATTCCGGTCGATTTTTCATAGCAACGGACCGCGTCGTAAAAAGCTCTATATAAACATATATTTCATTGATAATAGATTTTTTTACTAGATTTACATAAAACATAATTTACAAATAAAGTGACATGTTTAATTTCTCAAGATAAATTAAATGTCACCTACCCGGTGATCATATATCGCGTCTAGTTTTTGATGAAACTTAATTAGAATGGCTCTTGTATGGCTCTAGTTTTCTGTGCTATTTTCTGTCATTTAGAAAATTCCGGCGTATTTGTGACAAACCTGAAAATAAGATTGCCAATGTCATTTATGATTGTTTTTCAAGCTTTAATAGAACAATAACAGAATGCATTCTGTCAATACTTTTCATTATGCCGTATAAAATACATGTATTTCAAAGAACCAGTGAAGGATATTTTTTTTATAAATATTTCGGAAAGAACGAAAACCATGAGGCATTGACTTTTATAATTTTAGATTCGCAACAGACGATAATAAGATAATTTTGATATTAAAAATCTATTCTTAAAAGACCTTTTCCCAGTTACTTATTTTATAGATAAATATATGTGTATATACAAATACAAATGTTGCTGCAATGCAGCAATTGAGAAGCTCCGCGCAAAAAAGTCATGATATATTCAGATTAAGTACTCTTGAACATTTTTCGGAATGTTTTGTAAATCTTTTTTTTGCATCATTATACTTATCGTATACATGTACTGTCCATAAGAGAGGGCCAGATATTAAATTAAAAAAATATATGCTTTTACTGATGCCTTCCTGGTAAGGAATAATTCCATTGAATACAAACAAGACTTATGTAATGTGATTTGACTGTAGTGCAACAGTGCCAAGTTTCATCAGTATTGAAGCATTTTTCATATTTTCATAGCAGTTTGAACTTGTAACGGGAGGCTTTTCAATGAAAATTACCCAAATAACTGTTTAAACAGAAATCTATTTAAACACGTTTTCGCTGAAAATGTCTTTCATTTAGAACTCTATGCTTGTATAGATTAAGTCCAAGTGAAAGCATGATAATTAAATCAATTAAAATAAAATTATGCATCATAATTATATACTAGCAAGAGTCATAAAGCAAATTAAACACTTAAACCACAACAACTCAACTCGAAGAACTCCAACAAAAAATCAGCTTATATAACAAAAGTTTGCGTTATGAGCAAAAGTGGACTGGCTCGCGACCCACTTGCGGAAAGCAGTCTGAACGACTCCTTTTGCGACCTGAATACTGCGCCTTAACAATGTTCAAAATGGTGCACAAGTGGTTCATGTATACAATGCAGTACAAAAATACATAAATATACAAGTTAACATTTGTTCAACTTACAAAGTCGCAGTAATAATAATAATAATAATAATAATAATGTACACAATGCAAACGTGAATTGTTGAAAAAACTGTGGGTCCGAAGCATATAAATGCTTTGTTTTTAAGTATTCTAGCCCGACTTTATAACCCAATCAACGGTGAACTTGTTTTCTTTTATTTAAAATTGAAATCTGACCTTTTGATTGACTTCTTCTGTAGTCATTCGTCGCTAAAGAAGTCATTCAAAAAAGGTCAGATTTCAATTTTGAATCAAAAACAGTGCAAAATAGTGCAGCATAAACTTGCAAAAAGTAAATATATATTTGTATTATTTATGCTATACAAGATTGAGATAGACACTTACATTTGATTAACTATTCTTTAAACTTATTAACAGCAGAAAAAATAAACTGAGAAAATCCCTTTTATATAAGCTCAACATTTCAACTCTATATAGACAAAGCAGTGAGGAATTTCATTCATAAAATCTGATATTTTTTGGAGATGATGAAAGGCTAAAAATAGTTCACTCGGAAAGCTGATTCTACGCGACCTCATATCTAATAATAACTGAGCTGTACCAATGACCGGGACTGTTAATAGTAAAGAAATGTTGACCAGATACACCATCCTAAAACAGTACTTCTTTTTAAATTTAAAAGTATTGTAGCTATTATAAATGTTTATTTTTTTCGAATTCGCTGTATAAATAGATTTTCGGACATTCACAATGTTATTTATAGCTTTCGAATTATGTACAGCAATACTGCTTTCCGGTTCTCATTCTCTAATATGACATGCTGCGAATCACTGAAAGGGAAACCAATATATGACTTTACATAAAAGAAATCGAAAGGAGTTCGTGAATCCGAATTCATTTTTAGCATTAATTGTTAAAAACCGGGCCCATGGACAAAAACAAAAGTAAAAACATAGTAAACACAAAAAGCTCCGCGTGGGCGCGGAGCAATAAGCGCCACTCGGCCGTAAAATATTAATTATCACGGTGCATATGTTGTTTATACAAGCGGTACTTGGCTGTGATATCATAAATCACCAGGGTGCATTTTTTTAGAGTTATAACATTACATAAGATTACGTCACTTTTGTTAGTTGTCAAAATATTTATAGTCCGAATTTTGACAGACAGACAGACAGACAGACAGACAGATACCTTTATTGATCATCAGGTTACATGTGTCACATATAACAACATGATGTGAAAATACAAACATACATATTTTACAAAACAGGTGGAAAACAGGGTATTTGATAAACATGTGGATTGAGTCAACATTATTATAAGTTAAATAATCTCATAATTATATAGTTATTACAATTGTTTTCTAACATAAGGGGGAGACTATCAGAAAGATGCTAGACTATTCGACAGGGTGCAAAATATAGAAATTTCAGGTTCTAAATTTAGAAACAGTGTTTACTACATTTGTAGTAAATTAACGGTATGACTGTTTTTATGAATGGGATAAATCCCACGGGAAGCATGATTATTAGCGGGAACATATTTATTACTAAACTTCCATTGGCTACAAGTCCTGTCGTGTGAACAAGGGCAGTGTTACAAATCTTCATGTATTTATATCTATTTAATCGGAATATCTTTCACTGGTGAGTTTTTGTTTTATTTTATTTTTATCAATTACAAACTACTGAGTATTTGTTACTTTTAATATGTATGATATTAACCTACAAAGACCTTTTAGTGCGACTTCATTATTTGAGTTCAGTAATTGACTATATTTGATGATATTTGGTCTGGAATAGAAATATGAATCTATATTATTTTCCCTCGATTGTTTAAAACGTTTGCATACGAGGAGAGTATGGAATTTGTCACCTAAATCAGAAAAACAATTTAGACATTGCCTATCATTATAATTGACATAGCTATTCCTCCAACGGCCAGTTTCGATGGGAAGTTTATGATTTGCTGTTCTAAATTTCAATAGTTTCAGACCTTGGTTCATTGGTAAAATATTTAGATATTTTTCAAATGTTAGTTCCGTTTTGTTATGGATCATCCTAGATAATCAATAATTGATAGTTTGCGTAAGTGCCCTTTTTCATAATTATATAAAACAACTGGCCTAGCTTAAACACATCTTAATCGCCTTGAATTTCGTTTCGGTTAAGGCTAATTACATAATGTGTTTTTGGCAATCATTTATATATTATAAAATCTATTTTTCCCAAAATTATTCATCGTCTTTCCTCAAAGATGAAATTATTGTAACTTTAAATTACTTAAATGATTTGTATTTTCCTCTGTCTTCGCCTAAGCGTTTTGTTACACTTAACAAGCTCATTTCTGATGCTCTTGATATATACATATGAACCTGATATCTATGCAACTAAGTAGCTTATTCCCCTTTTTTATTATGATATTTTCACTCAATTGCCATTTGTTGATAGATTTAACAGATTAATTGCATTAGTTATCTTTTAGTGTGAGTAAATATTATAAATATGCATTTTCTTTACTAATTAAAATTATACATAAAAATCTTGTATTTATATTTACTGTATATATGATCCTTTGTACACTGTAATATATATTATGTAACTGCTCTTCAGTTATGGAGGAAATAAAGATAATAATTTTTTATGGTTTTATATCATAAGTAAAATGCTCAAAAGAAGATTTATCAATATTGTAAGTTCCAAAAAGCATTATTTGTAAAGACATTACCGAATTTACATTTCCACGTTAATAAAGTGAGGTAATTTAAAATTCATTTAGTAAACTATAAATTTTAAGTCTGTTTTTAATAAGAAATGAATGAATGTATTTTTATAATTTCATAAAGTGTGAACAGAAATTTGTAGTATGAATTTTACATATTCTTCAATGTTTGAAAATTGAGAAGCATATACATACATAAAAAATCATTTAAGTGTAGTAAACAAAATAATTTACAACATGCAATTAACACAGTTGTTTCTCTAAATTAAAATAAAAAATATACTGGAATAAATTGGAAATAAGACAAGATTTTGAGGGCAAAACGGATGTATGCCTTTTTTTAAAACGTTTTCACGATATCTATTTTGCATGTGTCTAGTTTGTAAAAAGATAAAAGTAATAAAATCAGGGTACATTTTGAGTTCAACCTAGTTGTTTCAAAAGTTAAGTATTAACGATATTTGTACTCTAAAACTATATACGAACAGCATTGTTCATATATTTTAACTGTATAACTGTTTTATGTTTGATATAATTCAGAGAAAATGTTTACCTCAAGAATCATGTTTTATGTGTTATTCCATTTATAATTTCTACGATGACAACAATAAAAGTACATGTATACGTCAACATTTTGAAGTCAAAAGTTTGTATTTTGTAATGTATCATAATGACGAGATTTTGAAATGCGATGGTCAGTGGCGTGTTTTATAAATGAAGTTTTTTTTTAATTTTATCTTATATTATCTTTTTTTCAATTCATTTCATTTATTGATAAAAAACATTTATTTTATCACTATTCCATTAGAAAACAGCAAACGAAATCCGCTCTCAAAACTCACTCGAAAAACAGCTTTGCTTAACGTTAGATATAAGTATATACACATGTTGTTCATCTGGCTCAATATTCCACCGAGGTAGAATTTCAGTTTTCAAAGAAAACTGATAAATATTTTAGATGACGCAGTATTCGATTTGTAATTCGAATTCTTTTAATTTTCAAGGTTAAGCTTACACAAATTTTAATTTAGCTAGAAATTTACCTGAGAAATAAATTCGATGTAAGTGTTAGAAATATACTAATTACTATTCGACATCGACAAAACTATCCTGTGACTGGCTTGAATTTACTTTCTCCGCTGTTGATCGTTATATTCGTATTTTATTCGTATGTACCATAAAATGTTACCGTGAGTGTTAATTTAAACCATGATAAAATCGTTCGTATGAGTAGTTCGATTCGAATAAAAATAGGACGATTAGATGTCAGATGACTTTAAAAATGATAATTTGTGATTTCTTAAACGTTCTTTTAATGTTTTATATTTTATTATACATTGTAGTTAATGGATTTTTTTCAGGATATGAAAACCATGATGTTAGTATTTGCTAACACCATCTTACTAAGCATGCTTTATCAACATGTTGAGTGTTATGGGCAGTTCTATGGCGGGTCCATGAGCTATGTTATGGAAAAACAACCTGACGGAAACCAACTGGTAACTAGTTATTGCCATTTTATTTTATTCTTGCTAGATATTAAAGATTTAACAACAACAATTTTGGTTTGGAAATATATGGTTCCGAAACCTGAATACGTATACACTGTGTGTAGTTATTTATACTTTATATCTTTCAAACGGTTAATTTGAAAATGTAAGAACCGTCAGAAAAGCTAAATAAAACATGAATTTTTTGATGATACAGGAACTTTTTATAATTACCAGGTAACCATTGAGCTTATAACTGGTTGGGTTCTTGGGAAAGGCCCCTGTGGCTCAGGTTGTACTAAATCTGATATTGGAAGATCTACTCGTTTAACAAGACCAAAAATGGTTTCAAACAATCCAGACTACCTTGGTAAATTTTCAAAGGAACAAAAATCAAACGCTTCAACTGAACTAATTTCTATGGATACAAGAGTAAATTCCACATACAATGAATCTGTAATCGCTGTCAGTGAAAAGGGAAAATGGGAACAAGAAATAATGCACTTCAGCGTTATTATGGAGAAAGATATACAAAGAATGGATATCATGTAAGTATAATAATATTGATATAAATTATCTGATGTCATAGCATGAAATTGGTTAACAATAAATATTTGTTCGTGCATATCTACATGTGAGGGAATATCCAAAATAAAGTAGACTTTAACAGACTCAATCAAAGAGAGCCTGCAACATTTTCAATATTGCCGTGTTGGCAATTCTTTGGGTACACTTATTTTCTCTAAAAAAATTCCTGTTGCTTAGACACAGGTGGATTATATTTAGTAAACTTTATATTGAAGTGTCCAGAACATTAACGTAATAATATAAAATAGAAAAGTACTTTATTGAGTAAAAATTGCAAGCGCGCTATGCGATTTATAACCATTTTTACACCACAGGGGTAGATTTTGCGACTCAGGAAAATATACGGCAGAACTTACGCAAAGCGAAGCAACATCACTGTTCGATATGCTTATTTTACTATGTCAATGTTTGACGTATTCTCAATGTAGAGATTTTAAAACAACATTAATTTCGGTTGTAACCAGTGTAAAAGGCTTAGAAATGTCGATGTCAGAATAGCGGTAAATCATTTAGTTCTGCCATTTTCTTGCAAATGTATCAAAATAAACGCCGGAGATGATTGTGTCAACCTAATAGGAATACACAGTAATATAAATCTTTTTTTAATATAAATAGTATATATATATATATATATATATATATATATATATATATATATATATATATATATACATATATTGGATGCAACGAACTCTTCATTAATAAAGCAGACCTATATGTTTTTAAAAGCTGACCCTGATAGCGGTCGTGAGTATCGTGGCCACAACTGGGCTGCTCAAGTGAAAAGTATTTTAGATGTACATTGAGTAAGCTATGTCTGGAATCAACAAACGGATGTGAATAATATACCGTCCCAGTTGATAAAACAACGCATATTAGATACATATTATCAATACTGGTACTCAGACATAAATAATTCGCCACGCTTTCAATTTTACTGTATATTTAAACATAATTTCAAACAGAACATTATTTAGATTGCATTAAAAAGAACAAGTATAGGGTTTCAATACATCGTCGCACAGTTTATTCATAGAAACCGGACGTTTCGAGAATATCACGCGAGAAGAACGGCTTTGTAAATCATGTTATATGAGAAAAGTTGAGACTGAATTACACTATATTTTAGTATGTCCTAAATATCGCGAATTAAGAACAAACTATTTTCGGCAGTACTTTTGTCATTGGCCATCTATACATAAATTTGATCAATTAATGAATGCCACATCTAAAAAATATATTTGTAATTTAACGAAATATATATATTTTGCCAATAGAATAAGAATTTCATAATTTGTTCATATATCTCTATAATACTGTATACTCTTATTTTGAAAACAAAAGCTGACATGTTAGAATAAATGCACTGAACTTCGCTAAAATGTGCAAAATGCTATGTACATGTATTCGTAAAGTCAATTTAATAAACTTGTTTTTTCTTTTCTGAAAACACGTTTTCATGTACTTGGCACAATTATATCTTTCTTGCTCTAAACTTTGTAAAAGAGTTTTATGCAATAAATTTATGTTATGTTATATTTTAGAGCAGTCATGTTAATTATATTTTCGATCCTTGAAGATTCAGAACGGCAATATTGTTTGTGTTTACATATTATGTGATATTTTCACTTTCGTTCATTTGGTCTTTTACAGCTTGGGCGGTTTCAGTATTTTACATGAAATCTGTATAATAAATAACCCTTAGGATATGTTAACTGCTTTTTTAATTTGTTTTTTTTTGACGTCTTGTCTGTGATATGCAGACATCATAACCTCTGATTCCCTTTCAAAATTTCATCTTTAATAGTTTCGCCAATTGGGCACATCTTTCTACTTGGAGACCATATACCGCTTTTCTTTGAATGGCACGAACGTTCCACATTCAAGGGTGTGTGATAACCGACATATGAACACATCTGTGAATGTTTTAAAATTCCAATTTTTACCAGTTCATGCTAAATATTGAAAACTTCTTTATCCGGTGCTAGGGTGCGTGGACGGTAACTTGCACTTTACAGTACCGTCCATGATCAGCCTCAATCAAACCAAGCCTGCAACATTTTCAATTTTGTCGTTTTTGGCTTTCTTTAATGATTCTGCTTTTCTCTATTTTATTGCCACAGAAGTGTAATTTGTGACGTGTGGTGGCTATATAACGTCTCTATTCTATGACTGCCAGGGTAGACATCACGTGCATGTTAGTCGTGTTAAAAACCAAATTATGATACAAATAGGAACGTAAACATGTGATGCAAGTTACCATGTACACGTATCTATAACATATAACAAAATATTTCGTTACAGAGAAAATCATTATTTTTTGTTTAAAAAATGTGTGTAGTTCATAATCACCAAATTTTAAATGACATACTTAATTTGGTATTACAATAAGTAAAGAAATTAAGTCACTTACTTTGTAATAATATTTCATAAGCCTTTGGTTTGAATAAAGAAGTTGATGCTGTAAAATGTTACTGATATTAAGCCAAGTAAATTTTTTCATTATATGAATGTTTCACAGTTAATTAGATTCGCTAGAGCTTGTTGCAACGTAAAGGATTTCAACGGGCGGAATATTTTCATTACTAGCAAACTTCTAAAACAGGGCTACCGCTATCATTAATTACGGAAATATTAAAAAAAATACAATCGTAATCTTGATTTAATTTTTAAATTGAATAGTGATTTAAAACACTTCTGTGAAAAGCGATGAGCAAGCCTGATTTTACGGGAATGTTATTTACAAACTTCGTAAGAGCGTGGGCCATGGTAATTGTTCTGCTGTTTTTACTAAAATCATTAAACGTTTTATTGAAAGAGGTTATGACCCTACTATTTTAAGACATATCGCATGCTAAGTGTCAACGCTTTTACAGTTGAACACTACGCTTTCCTCTGTTGATCAAGTGGGAGACTCTATGATGAACCCTTGTAGCCCTAGGGCGCCCTATCGGTAATGTGTATTCTATTGGTATATATTTCCAGCTTATGAATAATGAAAAGGAAACAATTGAATAGTTTGAGTATTTTCATTCATGTGTTATTTTCATTCATAAAATGAATTTCTGTGAGTTTGTCTAAAACACATGACATCAATCAAGAGAGATATGTGCTTTTCAGAGAATATTATGACTCTGATTTTGGTACTGTGAACCCTTAAACTTTGAGATGTTGACTTATTATATTGAGGCATGAGTTAGAAGCACCACATCATCATTTTGCACCGAGTTATCTTGAGTCCTTCTATGCATGACAAAGTTATTGTTTTGTAAGTGGTAAATATCCAACCTTTAAGTGTGACCTCTACCTTGTGTCTTAGACGGGACACGTCGTCGTGATATGTTCGACATTTATTTTAAAATCCTTCAATGCATGACAAACATAAAGTCCAGACATGCATGTGTGTAACTTTAAACTATTGTTGTGAGAATGTTAACATTCAAACTGCAAGTGTGACCTTGACCTTTAAGAAAGGGGCTTTTGTTCTCAAACGTGAATCACTTTGATGTGGTTTATATTTGTGCCAAGGTATTTCAAAATCCCTAAATGCATGACAAAGTTAAAGTCCGGGCACGTATGCTGTAAGAGTGGGGACCCACGGACAGACGGACGGACGTTGTCACATTTTGATTGTATGTGATTATTGTATTGTTCTAAAAGCCACATAAGACAAAAAAGGCAAATAAAACTTTACGGAATGAATAGCATAAAAGAAAATTTACTATGAACTATTGCTCCCATTGTCACATAAACCCAAAATATCTGATCATTCAGACAGACAGACACATGAACGGACAGTGCGATTTTTACATATACCGCCCTTAAAGTTGTAACCAAACTTAAGTGAAATTTTATATATGTATATAATTATGCTTCTTAAACAATTTTCAAACATCGAAGAATACGTAAAATATGTACTGTAAGTATTTGTCCACATTATATGAAATCATTAAAATATATGCATTCATTTCTTATAAAACAATTTGACTAAATTCAATTTCTAACTACCTCCCTTTATTAACATTAAATGCAAATTTGGTAATATTTGTACAAATAATGCTTTTTGGAACTTACAGTATTGATAAATCTTCATTTGAACATTAAGTTTATGATATAAAACCATAACAAATGAGTAACAATATCTTTTATAGAGCTATTCAAAAGTATAAAGTAGATATTTAAATAACAAAATTTAATCGGTAGGCATACTTTTATTTTGACTCATTTTTTTTTACTATTTTTTTTTGTATCTATATTAAATTCTGCTCATTGTCTTGCATCTGAAATATGACATTGACCCCGAAATTCACTACACACTAATGCATTATGGCAAAGTTCAATTGTATAGAAACATCTACTTCTGTTCCTACTTTTTAATGTTGTATTAATGTGGTGGCATAGCATTTTTTCACAAATTCAGTTTTGTCTATTATTTAATTCTTCTAACGTCTTTTTTATATTTATTTTCTGGTTTCAACGCCGATTCTAATTCAGTTTTGGTCAGAACTTGACTGTAAATCCATCCGCTGTTTTCCCTGGATCAATAACCAGTAATTATCAGCTTCTCCGAAAGTGTCCGACTACTAATCCCAATTGAGTTTTGAATCAGCGGTGTGAGACCAATGACCTCTAGACAAATTACCTAGAAAATAGTCATTGAGCTAAGCGTGTTGGTAATGGAAATATATTTAATTTGGCTATTTGCCTTACAGTTATTTTAATAAAAACATTATACCTTTCATTCTATGAGGTAGCATCTATCTATTTAGACGTTGCTGTTTTCGGTCGACAATCAGGTTGTGCATCTTCTTAGAAAAATGTCTTACACCAAGATTTGAAACTTAAAAAGGACGAAATTTCATAAAGCTCATCATAAGAACATTCTTCATAAAAATCATCTTTAAAACTTATGCCAAAACATTAGTAACGCGTTTTAGAGCTCCGTATTTAACATCGTTTT